CGAAAACAACAGAGAATTTGTTTTGATTATAGTGTAGGTATGTATGTGCTAATATTTACATATGAAGCCGAAGATATNAGAAATTTGATTCACTAGTCCGCGATTTCCCTGCAGGGTGGCTAAGCTATGCTTTGTCACAGCAGTGGTGAGTTAAGAAACGAAAACAACAGAGAATTTGTTTTGATTATAGTGTAGGTATGTATGTGCTAATATTTACATATGAAGCCGAAGATATGGCTAAAGCTGGGATCACACGATTTGTACATTTGGCTAAAAATTTGTCAAATTCGTAGACAAATCATGTGAACGCTAAATTACATTTGCCATTTATCAGAAAAGCCAAATATTTGCTTTCTGTTGGCAAATGAAAAACAACCCTGGTGGCCAAATAAAAATTAAGCAAATGACCAAATATCTGATTTGCCACTTGATGACAAATAACAGTGACAAATATACAAATATTGTTGAGCGGTATTGCCTTCGTGCTTGTGAACATTTGTATTTTCCAATTTTGGCAAAATTTTAATATTTCATATAATATTCGTATCCGAAAACTACCGAAAAATGTCACGTTATTTGAAAACAATAATTTTAAAATATTTGCTTAAACTGAACATTTGAAACATGTACATATACGTATTCGACTGTAGCTGAGTGTGCAGAGAAGTGTGCGACAGGTTCTTATGCCGGCAGACGAACATATTAAAAAGTATTTATAAAAGCATAATTAATTTCTGAGTATAATTAACTATAAAAGCATATGTGAAGTTCAGAATGTGAAATTTCAGAAAACCAACCGGAAAAGTATTCGTTTCACAACCCTTCGTGGCACTTTACTATTCACCTTTCTTTCAGTTTTCGGATCTCTTTCCGCAGTTTTTGCTGGCTATACACATATACATACATGCATATCGTCGTATAAAGTACAAAACCGTGTATCGTCATTCTGCAAAATCGCGTAACTGACATTTGCTTCCAAAAATTGGATTTGCTTACAGAAGCTGTTGGCTAAATCCTTATCCATTCGCCCTGAAATATACTATCCAGAAATGCGATGGCTTTATAAAAAAGAGAACCATTTTGAAATATGAGTGTTTTTACTCTCTAGAAAATAATTTTTGCAACCTCACGTACGCGGTTTTGCCTTTCTGTTGATACGCGGTTTTGTACGTTAAACGACGATATACAGATTATTAAAGACGACCTAAATTACACTGTGTGACAAAAAAAATTTATATAGTTTTTTCGAGGTTCACACTTGTTGTAGGTCTATTCAAGCAGTAAAATCTGGATACTCAGAATTTTAAATACACCTTCAAAATCTGGCTTAAGGTCAAAAACCGCGTATACTTGCTCGCAACTTTATTTCTGTTTACCCGGTGAAAAATACGTATATATGTATGTGATTCAAGATAAGACATTTCGCTTTACTTAAGAAATGGCAAAGGAATCAGTGATCGGACTCAAAAAAAAATTGTGTGGTGTAATTTGGAAAAAAATGTGGTAGATTTCAAAAAAATGTGGCAGATCTCAGGTTTTGGATCAAACTTTGTACAAAAATTAAAAAATATTTGCAAGGTTTCACCTAAATTGCAAACATTTTAATTAGAATCTAAAACAAAATTAATTTTAGTTTAATAAAGTGCAAGATTGAAGTTGATAAAAATTGCGTTGAGTTTTGGCAATTTTTTCCTTGACAGTTTCGAACATATTTTGAAAGATTTCTGCAACCTTGCGGAGTGCTGCCAGCTTTTATTTTTATCACATCACGATGTAGCGAACAAATGTGGCTCGTTCCAGAAATGCTACTTGGGATTTGCCGATTTTGACAATTCTCAAGTAAAAGTAAGCAACGCTTTAGAAATTTTAGATGCACTGAAATTTGCTAATCCTTTCACAAAAATCGCCGGTTTTTATCATTTTCGCTATTAATTCTTTTTATAAATCATATATTTGGCAATTTAACACAATAAAACCACGTTTGATGTCGAAAAATTTAATATTGAGAAAATTTAATATTTTACAGTTTATTTTATCCTCCCATTCTGCCTGTTGTTAGTGTTTAGTGTTGGACAATGTTTGCTCTTAAAATTAAGAAAATTATGTTGAGCAAAAATAAAACTACTGAAAAACGCGAATATGTGGTAGACTTCATACATACATAGGGTGGCCATTCTCAAGACAAATTACCATTTATAAATAGTTGTATACAACGAAATGTTTTCTCTTAAATGGTATATGTAAGTATTTTTCATCGGGCAAACAGAAATAAAGTTACGAGCAAGTGGGTCTGGTACGATACGTCGAAATTTAAATTGTCGAAACAAAAAACACCGAAAAAAAAATGTCAAAAAAAAATTGTTAGAAAATCAAGAATGTCGAGAAAAAAATTGTCGAAAGGAAAAATGTCGAAAACAAAAAATGTCGAAAATAAAAATGTCGAAAAAAAAAATATCGAAATAATGTAATGAATGATGTGTAAAATTCGCGCGAATTTTACACATCATTCATTACATTATTTCAACAGGTTGATTTATTTAAGTTAAATTCCACTAATCCTATGTACTAATATAATAAATGTGAAAGTTTGTGAGTGAGTATGTTTGTTGCTCGTTCACGCTAAAACGTCTGGATATATTTCAATTAAATTTGGAATATAGACATAATATACTAACATATAAAATATTTTTTGGAGTTGCCACCTCTTTCAAAAAAACGCGATTAATTAACAAGTTTAACAAAATATTAGCAAGCGAAAGCGGTTCAGAAAATATATATTTCGGAAGTATTTTGTAATAGGGTTGCCGCCTGTTAAAAAAGTAAAAGTCAATTAATTGATAACTAAATATACTTTAAGACGGTTGCTATCTGTTTAAAAAGTTTAAACGAAATATTTTAATGTGGGTATCAAACGAGAATGCTTTATTGTAGAAATATTTTTAGAGAGTTGCCATCTTTTCAAAAAGTTAAAATCAATTTAAATAACACGTAAAAAATTTTTTTTCTGCGTAATTTTGCAGAACTTTCTTTTTCCATCTTAGGAACTTTAGAACATTTGAAAATCTACTCAGAACACTTTTAATTTTTATTTTTTTTCACACATTCAACTTTTTCGACTTTTTTTCGACAATTTACGCGTTTTGCATTTTTTTCGACCTTATTCATTTCGAAAGCATACGATTTCGACATTTTGCGTTTCGGTTAAACATTATTTCGAGATTTAAAAAATTTTTAAATTTCGACATTTCTCTTTCGACATTTTTGTTTTCGACTTATCGTACGGATCCCGAGCAAGTATATGCTTCAACCTATGAAAAATCCGTTTTTTTAGCCCAGATTTTGAGGGTGTATTCAAAATTCTGAGTACCTGTGCGTATATATTATTTTTGTTTATTTCACTTCAAATCTCACGAAATCATAAATGCAAAAGTATGGTTGACACCGGATCAGCTGTTTAAGTATTTATGACCAAATGGTTAAATCGTGTGAATGAATATGGACAATATTTGTCACTTTACTGCTGTGCGCAAATGTGTGCCAAATCATTTGGATCTTTGGCAGCCAAATCAAGACAAATCATTTGTACATCGCTATCCAAATGCGCAAATGTGGACAAATCTAAATTTGGCATTTTGTGTACAAATGTACAAATCGTGTGATCCCTGCTTAAGCTACGTTTTGTCACCGCAGTGGTGGGTGAACAAGTACGAAAAAACAAAGAGTTTGTTTTAATTACAGTGCGTAGGTATGTATGTGTGCGGGAATGCACAAGCGGATCTAATAATCCGTAAAGAGCCGCTCACCGCTGAGGTGAGTTCTTGGTACCGAACGTATTCAAGTCGGAGAGCGGGCTTTGACTTACGTTCTCTTAGCTTGGTGAGTGCAGCAGAGAAAAGCGAGGTGGAATGAAATTAAACCCAGCGGGACCTGTCTACAACACGAAATCGCATTCTTCCTATACTCAAAGTATGACCGAGTACTCTAGTCTTCCATACACAACTCTCATACACTTTTCTTAACAAATGTCATTGGCAGTATGTACTCGTATTGAAACAAACAAAGTTAACTACAAATGTGTATGGAACATACTCGTGCTGGTACTTCGTGCCTAATACAAATACTTAAAGCCGGAGGTGTATAGAGAAGTAAATAACTTAGCACACGATTTCAAAGTAAAAGTGTATGGGAAATATATGTGATATTCTATACGCTACCGGTATACCAGGTGTATTTAAAAGCTCCACTAGGCAATGAGCTTATCCCAGTAGAATAAAAATCATATTTTTAAGTGTTGAAAATATAACTATTGGCTATTTATTGACTTTTTCTTTTTGTCATAAATTTTTTTGAAATTGCGGCTCTTATATGCACGAAAACAGTTTCTGATCTCTTTTACGAAGTCTTTATGTGTAGTCCCTTCTTTGGCAGTGGCTTCTACAAAAAAAAATATTAATTCGTTTTGTTTATTAAGACTTGTATAAATGACAATCTTACCAAACAATGCCTTATTCAAGGACTTATACTCTTTAAAGGCCATTTTGAAATTCACCCCATCATAATTTAACTGATGAATGACTTTATCGCTTAAAATTCGATTGAAATTTTTAAAAATTCCTTCCGGATTAATTATTATTTTTAATATTTGAGTCTGAAAAATAAGAAATTAATCATTTGTATAGTGGATGAATACATATTAAGGAGTTTTTTTTGGGCGACTATTATTTTTTTCACTCTCATCTCGAAATACCTAAAGAAAAATTCCCTGAAAATTTGAGCCCTTAATATTAATATTGATTGCTCGACCAAAGCGCGCAAAGATTTCTCTTTTAAAATACACGTAAACTTTGATTTTTTTTCTACAAAGTTCTACAGCTCAGAGGCATTTTATGATATAATCATAGTCAATGATGGAATTTGTTTCAGAATTTAATGTTTTACAAAAGTGTCCAGTGCGGCGTAACCCTAACTCCCACCAGCGAGGTAGTAAAAAACGATCATTTTATGAAAAATTGGGTTTAGTGACCCGTACTACCTCGCTAGTGGGAGTTAGGGTTACGCCGCATTGGACACTTTTGTAAAACATTAAATTCAGAAATAAATTCCATCATTGACTATGATTATATCATAAAATGCCTCTGAGCTGTAGAACTTTGCAGAAAAAAAATCAAAGTTTACGTGTATTTTAAAAGAGAAATCTTTGCACGCTTTGGTCGAGCACTCAATATTAATATTGAGGGCTCAAATTTTCAGGAAATTGTTCTATAGGTATTTCGAGATGGGAGTGAAGCAAAAGAATAGTCGCCCAAACAAAACACCATAATACATACACTGCCGGGAAAAGGTATTGGCACCGCGAATTTCGCACAATATATGCGCCAATTTCTATTATAATATTTTTCAGCTAATTTTTTATAAAAATGTGGTTCATTCTACAACAAAAAATATAAAAATATAATTTCTAAACTTTGTGCAAAACTGCACATTTTAAACTTTTTAATCAGATTTTCTCGAATTTTCTTGAGTATGCAATTTTGTAGCCTATTAAATTCTAGTAGAACAATACAAATTCGGAGTTAGTCAAGAAGCGCACTGATTTTTTAAGAATTTTTTTTGTTGAAGGTGTTTTGCATTTGTCCCATATAAATTATTTTCAAAAAGTTTTTTTTTGTATGGAAGAGACTGCGTGAAAAAAAAAATTTCCAAAAATAAAATTGATTGGGCTACAAATCTGCATACACAAAAAAAATCTAAAAAATCTTATTAAAAAGTTGAAAATTTGCTGAATTTTCGCGATATTCGCACAAAGTTTAGAAATTATATTTTTATGTTTTTGTTGTAGAATAAACCATATTGTTTTTTTAAATTTTCGGAAAAATATTTCAATAAAAATTGTTACAGATATTGTAAAAAAGCAGCTGTGTCAATACTTTTTGCCGGCCGTATATATATTAAAAAAAGGTTGTTTTCAACTATTTATTAGGAAATATAATAATGAACTTACGTATTTCTCGATTTCATTGCCAACTTCCTTGTTTGCTTCCTCCAGATCACCCAAAGTCAATATTGGAAATATCTTTTTGGTGGTAATTGGAACATTTTTCTTTATCAATTGGTCTACAGCTGAGCGAATTTTGGGCAAGGTATCCTGTAAGGTTTCTAAAAAAAAAATTAAATAACTCTTGAAAGAGTATGCAAGAAATTATTACCAGTTACCTTCAATTTTCATTTGCCTATTGTTAATTCCCTCCAAAGTTTTTTCAATTCGCGAAGTATCCTGTAAACAAAAGAAATGATTATTAGGGTCTTAAAAAAAAGTATGCAAGAAATTAATGCCAGTTACCTTCAATTTTTATTTGTCTGTTTTCAATTCTCTCCAATGCTTTCTCAATACGCCCAAGACGTTCATCGACGGATTGGTGTTAAAATCGCTATTCACAGCATATCTGTTGCGTATTAATCCTTTATCCATGTTAAGCTGTATTGAAATAATGTATGTACGTATTTATTTTTCTAAAACTTTGTTTACTTATTGAGTAAGATTTTATTTTCATTCAATTATGAACGTATTTACTAAGGTGGTGCAAAAACTCTGTTATATAAAGTCTACTTGTTTGACTTTTTTCTGAAATTCTACTTTTTGTAAAAGTGCTTTTTCACTCCACCTTAATATTTACATATGTCAAAACTTCTTTATTTCCTCATTAATTTATTTATGTATACATTTTTTTGTAGCTTTATTAGCTTATTTATTTCTTTCTTTACATATGCAGCTCTACAAAACAATAGCACATCAACATTAAGTCCAATTTTGACTATTTTTCTTTTGTTTTTCAATGTTAATTATTTTTTTTATAAAAGTATAGCTCATTATCTAACTAAAACCATCTAAATCCAAATTTCAATCTTTATTTAAAGATAAACAAAAAAAAATAATCGCAATTCCAAGTTTTTTATAATCTTTAAATACAGTTTGAAATCTGGATTTAGATGGTTTTAGTTAGATAATGAGCTATACTTTTATAAAAAATAATAATTAACATTAAAAAACAAAAGGAAAGTAGTCAAAATTGGTCTAAATTTAGATGTGCTAACATTTCTTTACTTATTTACTGATATTTAGAGATGCTTGGTTGTGATGGAAACTTCACACAAAGTGTGATAAAGGCATAAATACAAATTCATCCTCAAGTGGCAAATACATATATTTACATGAAATCAGAAATTGTGTTTTCATTTAAATCTTTTTCAAAAATGCCTTTATAAATGCCTAGATCTGTCCCTGATATGAGCGGAGCCTCGAAAAAATTGTTAATATTATTTAGGTATTGGCCTGTAACAAACAATTGACCGTTCTCTTCTAAGAACCTTTTAATAATTAAAAGTTTGGTATTTGCTACCAAAAATAGATTATTCGTTTTTTTTTTGTTGAAAGCGAAAATCCCTGCGTATAATAGTTTGTAATTTCGCCCGCACTATTTTTTTTTAACAATTTGTTTTCAATTTCTTTCAAGTATTGGTCATTGGCGTAAAATTTTGTATGAAGTTGTTCTAGGATTTTTGTTGGATTTTTGACTTTTCGTTTAATAAGCTGCAGAAAATTTTCGAACTTATACGCAGCGAAACTTTGAATATCACCAATTTCCCTCACGCATTGCACCACATGAAGGACATTGTGCACATTATATGTTAGATTCTTAGGGCTGTACAAAATAGGAAAATTTTCAACAAAGTCCCGTAGCATGCTTTCAACAGTGTTTAAATAATTGAAATAGTTTTTAGATAGCAATAGCTTATAGGCGCAACTTAGCAATAGGAAATGATAATAAAGGTCTTCGTCAATGATATTCTTCAGAGCTATCATACCCGTATACACCAAAAACTGTCGAAACTCAACAGACTTCCACCGTGGCAAGTCTTTAGGTCTCTTGGTTTCCTGGAAAATTCTATTGGAATGAATGTTTTCATTGACAATAATCGTTGAGAAATGATCTCCTCCTGCTCTGAACGTAGCTTGAAATAAATTGTGTCCTTTTTCATTAGGCAATTTAGCATCTTCTTACAAACGCCAAGATCTAAAAGGTGCATGGGGTCCAGCGGAAAGTGCTTAATCATATCGATACCTTAATTTTCCAACACAGAGCTCTTATCTTTAAAATATTCTTTATGAAAATTTCCATAAGCTCTGCTTCTGAAGTTTTCTTGAGTTCTTAAGGTGCCGCAGAAAGGACTAAATGTCGTAACGTGGTCAATACGGACCCCGGTTTGTGTGCATTTTGAGCAACCATTTAATGAATTGTGGCCAACGATTCCACATAAATAAGCCCTTTCTGGTGTTTCGCACACAAATGCACTTATACTTACTTTTATGTATTTCTCTTTGCATTTATAACCCATAGAAAACAGCTCTGAGACTTCATAAAAGAAATCCTGTAGGAAATTGTCCACATTGAAAGGTTTCTGATATCCAACATATAGCCCAATAATAAATACGCGTGAATTTGGGACATTAACAAAATTACCTAGAAATGGCCATAAGGAAGTCCTCGAGCTTTTAAATAATGGAAGACCGTCAATTCCTACGTCTAAAATTAACTCATCGTAATTTCAATCTTACTTTGAATAAAATTTAAATGTGCCTTTATTCCAAAATGGGTATAACTTCCTGGGCTAACTGTTCTGATAACTATTTTTTTACTTCCACCAAGTAGACCCTTCAACGAAATGGGCACATCTAAATTTTCAGAATTTAATATTTTTAACAGAGCATTACTACAGTATCTAGAAGGGTTGTACAAATTATACCACTGTCTTAATTTTTCCTTCAATGAAAGTTTCACGTTTACATCACCAATTTCTTCAATTTCGTTTTCTATATGTGCACTTTCTTGATTTTCTTTTGGAAATTCTACGGGTATTGTTTCTATGCCCTTATCACACGCAATTTCTTGTTTTCTCTTCAACCGGTGTTTTGCCTCAAGCCTTTTTAAATTTCGTTTTGAAAATCCTCTCATTATTATTTTATACTTAGTATGTACAATTATTTTTATATCAATTGATCACAAAAATTATTAACACTCACTTTTTTTATTTTTCAATTTCGCAAACACGTGCTTACACTTTTTGTTTACACTCCGTTTCACGGCTTCGCATCAACTGATGTATGTACATAAATACCGATCGGTCTTGCTCTTCGGCTCACTTACTATACCAATATACTTCGTTGATACAAAAAAGATACGGACCCGAATGAAAAATTCACTCCTTCGTTTTTGTATACTTCTTCTATATACAATGTGAGTGGAAACGTATTCCACTTAATTTCGTGCCATTTTTTGCCCATATACGTACTCCATACACTTTACGACGACGTCGGAAAAAATCGGAAAAAGTCCGGCTGGGAAATAAGCTAGAGTACGTTTAGTATATGTGGACTGAATTGTCCGATGAATAACAGCGACTCTCTTAGCTATTATGCGAATAGTTGCAGAAAATGCAACTGGTAAAAATGCTTATATGTGCTACCGTATGTACATATGGTATATGTAATGTGACCAACCGTACTTCTTTCGGAAGTACAGTACTTCTTTTTTCGCTCTTGTACTTCGTACTTCGAAGTACAGTCAAATGTACTTCTTTGCGATATTTTGTACTTCAGGAGGGGGATTCTGTAACCAGTTAGTTATAATTTTCGGATCGCTATCGCACTTTTTGACGTATTATATAAAAGTTTTTGCGTCAAAAAGTGCGATAGCGATTCGAAAATTGTCGCTAACTGGTCACAGAATCTCTCCCCAGATCCTGTCCTTCTCCGATCTTTTGGACGATCATCACATCGCCTGGGCGATAAATTCCTTCAAACCATTAAAGTCGCCGGGGACCGATGGGATCATACCTGCGCAGCTGCAAAAGACTCTAAAGGTGTCGTGCAATTGGTTGGATCCTATTTATGCGAACTACGTGAGGACCGGGTACATCCCAAAGGCTTGGAGGGGGGCCAGTGTTGCGTTCATCCCGAAGGCTGGAGAAGGTTCTCATGTTTAAGAAAGGCGATTCCTTGTGACTGTCTTTCAAGAGCTGAAAATGGTTATTGCAAGAAAAGGTCGGTCAAGTGGTCAGAGGAAGCCTTCACGCATGAATATTATGGAGTAGGGGCCTTCTTCGATATCGAGGGGGCCTTCAACAATGTTACTCCAGAGGCAATAGTAAAGTATATTAATAATCTGGGGGTGGAAACCAACTTAATAAGGCTTATCTACAGCGTCTGCAGAGTCAATAAGAGCACTCCACAAGGTGGTGTTCTCTCTCCCTTGCTCTGGATTGCGGTTGTAACCGACCATATAGAGGAACTAGAAAACGTGAGCTGTCGGGTGATCGGCTATGTAGATGATGTGGAACTTTTGGTTAAGGTACGATTTCTATACACCCTTTGTGATCTGGCTCAAGGTTACCTGAACCACGTAACTAGGGGCGATCAACGGCGGCCGTCGTGGAAGCCTAACATTGAGGAAAGGCTTGGAAAGGAAAACCGAGTCCTTTTGCAACATAAAAAAGGAAATGAAGACGTTTCTCTGCTGAAGCAAATGTTTTTATAGGGCACTTTAAAACACGTTACCTCTCAAGGGCTAGTGATGGGGGCTCTGACAGGCTATTGTGCGATTGGTATTCATGCGGTGAGAGTAGGAATTTCAACTGATTCTTTTGTATGAGCTTCCAAGAAGAATATGAAATGAAATCATCTCCACACCTTCTTTTAGACTGCCCAATCATCGCGAAGCTATGTTGGAAGCATATTGGCTCTCAGAGATCGAAATTAGCCGCATTCGAAATTCCGTAATCGGCTCGCGGCGTTAACTTAACCGAACCTAAGCTGTACTTCTTTGAGATATGAAATAGTTGGTCACATTAGGTATATGTGGAAAAAATGCACTTATGTTTTCGGCACTTTGTTTAGCCAAGTTCAACGAACTATGCGACCAACGGCAAAAATTGGTAAGCAGAGGAAAGTATTTGATTTTAATGTGCTAATATTTGTTCTTGCACAGTGGGACACAGTAGGCATATAAACTGCAACGGAATTTATTTTGGGGTATATAATAAATTTTGCATATATGTACATATACCTATATATGTACATATACCTATATATGTATAAGATTGGCGGTGATATACCGCTTTCCGGAAAACGGGATTTTTCTACCAAAATTTTAATAGCGGCAAATTGCCGTTGTGGAATTTTGTGCGGCAGGAAAATATCCGCGATTTTAATAGAACCGTTTTTGGCGAGAAAAAATAGGCCTTTTATTAAATTGTATATATATATATGTATGCATGTATATACGTATGTATGTCCGTTGGCAGTTTATTAGAAATAATATTACTTTTAAGAATATGAAAGTTATATTATTTCAATTTTTAAGGAAATTAAAAATTTGCCTACTGATGCTGATGCTATTGTTGGCTGCTGATGTTGCTGCTGATAATGGCTTCTGATGATGGCTGTTTGGCGGATGGTTTGGTTGCTTCCTTTAGTTGTTGTTGTGCTTGTTACACAAAGGTATCGGCACAGGGAACTTTTGTTGTCAAAGAATTTTTAATATGTGCACTTTTGGTGATTTGTATTTTTTTTTTGGTTTGCCTTTTTTGCACTTTTGTTTTTTACGTATATGTATGTATGGATACGTGCACTTTTATTTCAATGCTTCACCTTGTTTGCACTTTTTTTTGTGGTTTTTTTTTTATTTTTTTATTTTTATTTATTATTTTTAAGTTTTAAAATTTTCATTTTTTTTTTTAGGAGCTGGGCCACGGTTGGCTGCGAAGGACCATGAATATCTCGTTCTCCCTTCGCACTCACCTCACTACACTTTAATTTCCGTTTGAAGGAAAAGACTTCAGTTTTCAATTTTAAGTTCACAAAGTTCACTTCAGTTTATTTATGAGCTTTTTGTTACAATTAAAGTTTATGTTTTCACTTATAGAGTGTACATACTAGAAATACTAGCTTTCAGGGGCCGCGTGCGCGTAGTCCGACGATGTTAGCTGAACTGCGTTCTGCTGATTTTTTACGACGATGGGGAGGCGGCCGTACGCGCTCTGTAATTGTATTTTCGGAGTTGACGTCGGTCAACTGCCAAACTGCTGCGGCGAAGGATTGCGCGCACGGCCGTCGGCTTAACAGGGACATTTGGATATTTTTAAAGGAATTATAACCCCCACTAAGTAGAATTATCATTTCTGTGCACCTTTTGCAGAGAACACCTTTCCAAACAAATCATAGAAAATTTGTTAAAATAAAGTAATGCCGTAAAAAAATGGATAAAGTAAAAAGCAAAATATACAATAAAATTCAAAGACGAAGTAGTCATATGATACACCTATAAAAACATTAAATATACATTTTACAAAATATATTTATGGACTACGCTTGGAAAAACCCCATAAAAACTTTTTGTCATATATTTTTATTGAGTCTCTTTTTTTCCACAAATATTATACACAGATTCACACAATATGTATATCAAACGAAAGATGTCTAAACGTTTAGCGTAAAGTAAAAATTGAAAGAACAATCGATCAACACATATTTCATTAAAGCGTTTATACCTGTGCCGTTATAGCGCACTAGCTGAAACCGTATTCAAAATCAAACAAATTATGTTAATTTTATTCGCTATTTCTTTAATATTTAATTAATCAGTTTAAAACGGGCTGTGTAAAGAAAACCAGTCTTTTACCGTCAAATGAATGATGTGTTTACACGTATTTTCTAACCGATGTGAGAACTAAAAAAGCGATTTGAAAACAAATTCGAGTCAATGCACTTTTGAATTTCTGAGCGTATTGATAGTAAGGGACAGTGTTGCCAACTTTCAAATTTGAAAAAGCAGTAAAACCCAAGAAAAATGGCGTTTTTTCTCGAAAAAAGCCCCAAATTTGTATTGGTGTATTTAATGGGCTTTGTATGCATGAAAAATTGTATTGTAGGGATGCCGATTCAAATTAATAAAAATCAATTTCTTGTGTTTTCTCTAAATTCAAATAATTTCGTTCAAGCGACGTTGAGATTCTTGTTCTTACCCTGTAGGGAAACGAACTAGTGCGTTTGGAACCATGACTAGTACGCGTTAATTCTCTTTTGCATGCTAGCGACTGGCGAATTAACATTGCGATGTCCTAGGAAGTGTCAATTGTCCCCCGTTGTGTTCCTTTGGCTCTATTTCCGAGCCAGTTCTAAATTTGACAGATAAGATCTAGTTCGTTTTGCATCCCTTTTTCTATAGTTCCGAACCAGTTCCAAATTCGACAGATGAGATCTAGTTCGTTCTGCATCCCCTTTTCTTTAGTTCCAAACCAGTTCCTAATTCGACAGATGAGATCTAGTTCGATCTGCATCCATTTTTTATAGTTCCCAACCTATTATAAATTCGTCACCTTAGATCTACATTTCTAATCAGGCTTGTCGAAACATTTCCCTTCTATATTAAATACGATCGGTTGAAGGAAGGACAATACAATCACAAATGTGTAAACGCATTTATTAAAAATTTATAAATCACATTAGTAGTAGTACTAGTTTTAAACTTAAGTAGTAAGTAAAAAACAAAAGTGCGTTCTGCTTAAAAGTAAAAATATTAGTTCACTTTGTCTTACTTGTCTAAATTTAAGCATATTGATTTTTAAGTAAATTCAGATCTTTTTAAGCTGATATGTATATGAAGTCCTTCGAAAGTTTTTGTCGTACTTAACTTAAATAAGATATACAGTCAGTCAATAAAGTTTAGGTACAGTGAAGTTTTTACAATGCCGGCAACTATTTTATAAATATTTTATTTTCCCCTAATTTTTTATAAAAATATGGTTAATTCTACACCAAAAACCCCAAAAATCAGAGTTTCAAACCTTATTCAAAATTAAGGAAAACTGCGAATTGATATTTAGCAATTTTTTTTTGTTGTTTGGTAAGTCCTAGCTTCCTCACACTTGCACTTCATTATACTAAAATTGAATGGACTAAAAAACTTTTTCTAGAGAGCGTAAATAGAAAGTGAATTATTTTAATGAAATTTTGCAGAATTTTCTTAAATTTTGCACAAGGTTTGGAACTCTGATTTTTGGGGATTTTGTTGTAGAATTGACCATATTTTTATAAAAAATTACCGAAAACTAAAATATTAAAAAAATAGTTGCCCGTATTGTAAAAAATTCGTTGTACCTAAACTTTATTGACTGACTGTATTGAGGTAGCTGTGGTGGATTGCATAAAAAAACTTAAGCTGTCTTTTCCTTAAAAAAAGGTAGCTCTGGTGGCTTGCATTTTTAAATAAATTTAGTAAGAAAGTGGTAATTATTTTGACACTTTTTTTTAAATGCCTCTTTTTCTGCAACTGCATTGCCTTTCTCAATTGTCCTTCAGGATCTTGGCCTTTGTTTATGGAATCACTAAGTATAATGATTATTAAGCAACTCAAAAACTATACCAGCGTGATGACCGACGT